AGCCTGCTTCTCCACCGTGTGCACCACAAAACAAATAACCACCAACTTATATGGAATCTGTAACCACTGCCGCCAGACGCACCCTCAAAGGCCGTGGCGCAAATGATCACAACCCAGCGACGCACAAGACACGCAGCGAGAAACGGAACTGCACGGGCCGCAGCACAAGCCGGTCTCCGCACAGGTAGATCGTGTCTTGAAAGGGATGCGGACTCTCGAAAGAGAACTCGGAATACAACCTTTTCCAACTTTTCCCTCGGCCGCACTCCGATGCAGCGAGCTCTCGCTCCAGGCCGTGCCGAACGAGGTGGAGCACCTGATGCCCTCGCTCGGCACTGCTGCTTCAATCTGGCTTGAGCCAGCAAAATGTCTCTGGATCTCACGATCCACACCTCACGAGGCCCTCTCAGTGCATGACCCCATCCAAGAACTCCAGTCCTCTGGTCCCCATCGATACCGAGCATCCTGTCCCCCGAGGCGATTATGTGTGTGTGTGTGTCTGTGTGTGTGCGTGTGTGTGTCTGTGTGTAAGTGTGTGTGTAAGTGTGTAAGTGTGTGTGTAAGTGTGTAAGTGTGTAAGTGTGTAAGTGTGTAAGTGTGTAAGTGTGTAAGTGTGTAAGTGTGTAAGTGTGTAAGTGTGTAAGTGTGTAAGTGTGTAAGTGTGTGTGAGTGTGTGTGTGTGAATGTGTGTGAATGTGTGTGAATGTGTGTGAATGTGTGTGAAAGTGTGTGAATGTGTGTGTGAATGTGTGTGAATGTGTGTGAATGTGTGTGAATGTGTGTGTGTGTGTGTGTGTGTGTGTGTGTGTGTGTGTGTGTGGGTGGTGGGTGGGTGGGTGGGTGGGTGGGTGGGGTGGGGGGGGGGGGGGGGGAGGGGCGCATGCGAACACCCCCAGTGTGGCCTTCGGTGGAGCTCCCCATGGGGCCACGAAGCGCTGCCCTGGGTGGATGGTGATGGAGGAGGGGGAGGAGGAGGAGAGGAGGAGGAGGAGGTGGGACGCGTAGCGCTGTCTCTTCAAAACGAGGACCCAACTCCACAGGATGGCTGGGGGAAAAAACGCCACCGCCGCCGCCGCCCGCGCACAGAGGCCGCGCGCAGCGCCGCGCGGCCTGCGTCGCCCCCGCCGCTCGCAGCGACGCACCACTTCGCACTTCGCCCCCGCGGCGCCTGGCCCCACCGATCGCGCCCACTGGCGTTGGGATCTTCTGAAAACGCTTGCGCCACTGACAGCTGAGGGCGACCTTGCGCCACGCTTCGGTCGCCTCCTCTCGCAGAAGAGCAGTTTGAGACGCTGGAACGGAAAAGAGAGCTGCAGACAATTTTCACTCGGCGCCCCGGTCCAGCAACGATCAACAACGGACGACCCGAGGACGACGACGACGACGACGACGACGCGAAAACGGCACTTCCCAGGCGGCGGCGCCACTGCCTGGACTGCAGCGCCTGCGCCAACCGCGACGCCGGCACCGCGCGATGGACCGCGGCGCCGCACGCTCGCCGACTCAACTGCTGCACCGCTGCAACAGCAGCGCTGGGCCCGCGCCGCGCCCCCCCCCTCCTCCTCCTCCTCCTCCTCCTCCTCCTCCTCCTCCTCCTCCTCCTCCTCCTCCTCCTCCTCCTCCTCCTCCTCTCCCCTCCTCCTCCTCGTTCTCCCTCCTTCCTGGACAGCCACTCGCCCCCCCCCCCACACGCAAACAACACATACAAACACAGCCGCAACCCCTCCGCGCCCCCCCAGCCCGTCTCCGCGGCCCAGGCGGAAGTGCGCAACGGTCTGCGCGACCGCCGCGCCGCAAGCACCACTGCGCCTCGGCGGTGCGGCGACCCGTTTTCGGCGCGCGCGCCCTGCCCGTCAGCGCAGAACGTTTGCGCGCGCCCCTTCCGCCACTGCCCCCCCCCCCCGCAACCCGCGTCGCACCCCCGCTCCGCGCCCCCCGCTCCCCGCCCCCCCCCGCCCCGCGCAACCCGCCCCCCCGAGCGGCCCCAAGATCGGCCAAGAGGGCTCCAAGACGGCCCCACGCGGCCCAAGAGGCCCCTGAAACGGCCCCAGCAAGACCCCAAGACGGCCCGAGAATCCCCCAAGACGCCCAAGATGGCCTCCAAGACAACCTAGAAACGCCCTGAAAGACCTCGAGACACCCCAGAGAGGCCCTCAAGATGGCCTCCGGCGGCGTCAGACGGACCAGAAACGCCCAAAGACTGCCAAAGAGGCCCCGAAGAAGCCCCCGAAGGCTTCCAAGAGCTTCAAGGAAGTCCCCGAGAGGCCTCCAGAAGAACCTCAGGGAACTCCCAGGAGGCCCCAGGAATGATCCAGGAGGCTCCCAAAAGGTCTGCTCCTCCTCATCCTCATTGTCTTTCTCCCCTCCCTCCTCTTACTTCCCCTCCCTTTCCTCATCCTCCTCTTCCTCCTCCACGTGTTCCCCGAAGGTTTTCCAAACCAGCTCGGGGAACACATGCTCCGATAGCTAGCCAATCTCTAGTTGCAACTTTCGGACATATAGGCTTTTCCAAAAAGGCAGGGGGCGGTGGTGATTCGCTGTAGGCGTCTTCGATGCACATTGACACCAAGATTCCTGGCTCAGCAGGCACGACAAGCGCCACGGCGTCACATCGGCCCCGAAGAAACCAAGCGCTGGAACGACCGATGCTGGAAATACCAGGCGCGACTCGGCAAGCGGCGCGTAGCCTGGCAGTTTGACAAAACAGGCCGGCATACCATCTGCGAAGACTGCAAAACTAGACCTGGGGATCGACGCAAGGACAGACAATACTATACTATGACTCTGTGAAAACGCCAAACGATGAGTCGACACGGCACGCGGCACGACGTCACGAGGGCCCGGCACATGCAAAGCGCAACCGCGACCGCTGAGAAAGCCAACGTCCGACCTGACGGTACACACTGGCAGAGGCATCGCACGACCAATCACACAGGACCAGCGACGTCGCGCCAACCCGAAAAAAACTCGTGACCACGACCAGTTATCAACGATAGACGCCACGGCAGACACAATGACATGTTTGCACTTTTAGAGCTAAACAAGCACGATAGGCGTCACGACGTCGCGCCAGTCGGGGGGGGAGGGGTAAACGAACGCATTAAAATCAGATTCGAGAAGACAGACGCCGCGGCCGACTAAATTCAAAAGCCACGCGCAGCATGGATATTCTCAGTAACAAAAGCACTCCGCGACTAAACGTGCATGGCAAGCGTCCCGTCATCACGCTCATCCGAGAGGCGAGAGAAACCAAGCGCCGCAACGGACGTTTGGAAACGACAGGCCCCAAGACAGACATGTCTCGCTAAGCAGCTAATGGCATGGAAAATCATGCAAGCGTTCCACAGTTGCTGAATCAGCACTCCACCTCCTCAGTATCCAACTCCATGTGTACACACATGACAGGACTGTGGCCGACGAAAACGTAGAGGGCATGAAAGGGCCAAGACTAAAGGAAACGACTAGCCATGACAGCAAGCGGACGACGCAAGACGAAAACAACGTGGCACAAGTTGTTCGCCACCCGACAGGTGGCGGCTGTCAGCTCGGCGGGTTGAGTCAGCCACCCGGCAGGCTGAGGTCGGTAGCTGGGCCTGCTTGCCAGTCCGCACTCCATGGCCACCGCCGGGAGCAGAGCGCAGCCCCGAGGCGGAGACGCGGGAGAGGGAGAGGAGAGGAGGACGCGGGACGAGGCGGGAGCGGCAAGGCGGGGCCGATCAGGCAATGGCCTTTCATCAAGCCAAGCCCTCAGTCCTCCGACGCCGTCGTCTCTGCGGCCTTTCTCTGCGCATCAGACCAGTCGGCATAAGCACCGCTGAGGACAAATATGCGCGGCTTGAAGGCGAGAGCACATGTTTTATGTTTCCCGCCCTCCATCCGCGTAGCTGTTAGCCGTTCCTGTCTGAGGGTGGTCACGAGCAAATCGGCCGATGCGCCCCAGCCTTGCGCCTCGTGGCGTGGCGAAGATAGCTGCTGTACTCTGTACTGCATGATGGTGATTCTGGTGGTGATGCTGGTGACGATGAGTGTGATGAGAAATCAATGAGGGCGGAGGAAGGGGAGGAGGACGACAAGGGCGGGAGAGAGGTAGGCGAAGCGGAGAAGAAAGATAATAAGGATGACGAGGGGCAGGGGAGGGAGGGGGGGGGGGGAGCTGGACGGGCGGGACGGGCGAGGGAGGAGGGAGACCTTGTTTCGAGGAGGGTTGAACAAAATGCGGGAGGGAGGAGGAGGAGGAGGAGGAGGAGGAGGGAGGAGGGAGGAGAGGAGGAGGAGGAGGAGGAGGAGGAGGAAGGAGGAGGAGGAGGAGGAGGAGGAGGAGGAGGAGGAGGAGGAGGAGGAGAGGGGGGAGCCATCAGGCCGTGAGCAAAAAAGCGGAAACGCCCCCGAAGACGATGTGGAACAACGGGGCGGAGGGCGGATGACGCGCACAACTACACTGAAACCGCCCCACCCACGCGGGGACTGGGTGGAGGAACGATGAGCTGGACGAGGGAAGGGAGAGGAAGAGGAACGAGGGAAGGGATAGGGAGAGACACCTCTACAGCCTCCCCGGTCACCCTGACACCATAAAACAAAAGTATCCTCACTCCTCCTCCTTCTCCTCCTCCTCCTCCTCCCTCTCCTCCTCCTCCTCCTCCTCCCTCCTCCTCCTCCTCTCCTCCTCCTCCTCCTCCTCCTCGCTCACCTTCCCCGTCCTCATCCTCCTATTCCTTCTCCCGCTGTTCCTCTTCCTGCTCCTCCCCCTCCTCCTCCTCCTCCTCCTCCTCCTCCTCCTCCTCCTCCTCCTCCCCTCCTCCTCCTCCTCCTCCTATCCTCCTCCTCCTCCTCCTCCCCTCCTCCTCCTCCTCCTCCTCGTCTCCTCCTCGTCCTCCTCGTCCTCCTCGTCCTCCTCGTCCTCCTCCTCCCCCTCCTTCTCCCCCTCCTCCTCATCCCTCCTTCTCCTCTTGCTGTTCCTGCCTCCTCTTCCTCCCTGTCCTCCCCCTCCTCCCGCAGGGCGCCCGCGTGGGCGATGAGCCGATTGTACGGCGACATCAGGGTGGTGCTGCACTTGATGCGCGGGGACACGTCACACCAGGGGACGTATCTGCCAGGCCGCAGGTCGGCGACCTCCCCTCGCCTGCTCGCCGTCGGTCCTCCCTCCTCCTCCCCCCCTTGCCTCCTCCGATTTCTCCTCGTCCTCCTCCTCCTCCTCTTCCGACCTCCTTCTCCTCGTCCTCCTCCTCCTCCTCATCATCATCACCACCATCAAGTTCCAGCTCCTCATTTTCGTCACCGTCAACATCCATATCCGCATGCACCTCCATATCCACATCAACATCCTCACCCTCCTCCTCCTCCTCCTCCTCCTCCTCCTCCTCCTCCCCCTCCGCCTCCTCCTCATCATCACCATCACACATCAGCATCACCTTCAACACAATCATAATCATCATCAGCAACATCATTATCGTGATGATCGACATCGTCATCGTCATCATCATCATCATCATCATCATCATCATCATCATCATCATCATCATCATCATCATCATCATCGTTGTCGTCATCGTCATCGTCATCGCCATCGTTCACGTCATCGTGATCACCATCACCATCACCACCACCATCACCATCATCACCACCATAATCGTCATCATCGTCATCCTCATCGCCTTCATATTAATCCGCATCTTCGCCAGCATCATCATGGGCATCATCAGCACCACCCTCATCATCAGTAGCATCATCATCATCGTCATCAACACCATCATCCGTATCATCATAATAGTCGCCATCGTCACCATCAGCATCAGCACTTTCATCATCAGCATCATCATCATCACCATCATCATCGTCATTCTCACCACCAGCACCATCACCATGACCTTCACCACAACCACCACCACAACCATCATCATTTCCATCAGCAAACACCAGCGTTACCATTATCAACAAAAACGAGCTCACGGCGCGGACGCGCCGCATCGCGCTGCACTCTCAGCAAGCCGCGGCACTTGGGGCACTCTCCCAACGGGCTGGTGAGCATGTGTCTGCCCTTCTCAGCGGCAGCCAACGCTGCTTGCAGTAGCCCGTTCGTTGCGGCATCTGGCACCCCCGCCTCTCCCAGTGCGCTTCGCAAACGAGCCAGCAAGCACAGGGATCAATTGCCGCCAACCCCTTGAGCCGAAACAACACTCAATGCTCTCGGGGAGGAAAAGGGAAAGAACAGGAAAACCAAATCACAGATGGCATGGCTGCCACTTATAGCTCTGGCTTTGGCTCTGTTTCTGGATTTGGGTTCTGACCTCTTTGTGCTTCTGCAAAAGGTACGGGTTTTATTCTGGCTGTGGTTCTGGCTCTGCTTTTGCTTCTGGCTCTGGTTCAGCCGGTGGTTCTGGTTCCGGCTTTCGGTACGGACCCCTCGCTGGCATTGCTTCCGTCTCTGGTTCTGGCTCTGGTTTTGGTCATGGTTCGGATTCGCGTTTGGGTTACGGTAAAAGTTCTGGTTCGGGTTCTGTCTTTGGTTCTGGCGCTGGTCCTGGCTCTGGATCTCGTTCTGGCTCTGGCTGTCGTCCTAATTCTCTGGCTATGGTCCTGGTTCTGGTTCGGGCTCTGGCTCTGGCTCTGGCTCTGGTTCTGGCTGTGGCTCTGGTTCTGGTTCTGCTTCTGGTTCTGGTTCTGGTTCAGGTTCTGGCTCTGGTTCTGGCTCTGGTTCTTGTTCTGGTTCTGGTTCTGGTTCTGGCTCTGGCTCTGGCTTCGGTTCTGGTTCCGACTCTGGCCCTGGTTCTGGCTTTGGCTCTGGTCCTGGTTCTGGGTATGGTTCTGGGTCTGGCTCTGGCTCTGGTTCTGGTCCTGGTTCTGGTTCTGGGTCTGGTTCTGGCTCTGGCTCTGGTTCTTGTTATGGCTCTGGTTATGGTTCTGGCGCTGGTTCTGGTTCTGGTTCTGGCTCTGGTTCTGGCTCTGCTCCTGATTCTGGTTATGGTTCTGGCTCTGGCTCTGGCTCCGGCTCTGGCTCTGGCTCTTGTTCTCGTTCTGGTTCTGGCTTTGGATCTGTTTCTGGTTCCGACTCTGGCCCTGGTTTTGGCTTTGGCTCTGGTTCTGGTTTTGGTTATGGTTCTGGGTCTGGTTCTGGTTCTGGTTCTTGCTCTGGTTCTGGCGCTGGCTCTGGTTCTGGCTCTGGGTCTGGTTCTGGTACTGGCTCTGGTTCTTGCTCTGATTCCGGTTCTGCCTCTGGTTCTGGCTGTGGTTCTGGCTCTGCCTCTGGTTCTGGCTAGAAATGTCGTTCTGGTTATGGCAGTGGCTTTGGCTCTGGTTTTGCTTCTGGCTCTGCTTTTAATTCCATATGTTTTTGGCTCTAACTCTGGTTATGGTTCTGGCTCTCTGGCTCTGGTTCTGGTTCTGGTTCTGGCTCTCGCCCTGGAGCTGGTTATGGCTCTGGCGCTGGTTCCAGTTCTGGCTGTGGCTCCAGCTCTGGTTCTAGCTGTGGTTCTGGTTCTTCTTCTGGCTCTGGGTCTGGTCCTGGTTCTGGCTTTCGCTTTGGCTCCGGCTCTGGCCCTGGCTCTCGCTCTGCCTCGGGCTTTGGTTTTGGTTCTGGTTGAAGCCCTGGCTCTGGTCATGGCCTTGGTTCTTGTTCTGGCTTTTGCTGTGGTTTTGTGTCGGAGAATGGATCCCCTGAGCGATTCTCCGCCGCTCCGCTGTGCTTGGATGCCCTCTTTTTCACCCACGCTTCCACAGGGCGCTCGGCCGACATGACTTGCAAACTAGTGACGCGCACAGGCCATCCGATTTAGGGTGCCCCCGTCCGGCTTCCTCCTCGGCCATTCCCCAAGCGGCTTCGTTGGTTGGATGCCTCGTCCGCTGCGTTGTCTGCTGCCCGGTGGGCTGCTTGGTTGGAGTCCCGTTGAGTGACTCGTTGGCTGCCTGCTTGGCTGCCTTCTTGGCTGCCTCCTCGGTTGTCTTGCCGGTTGCTTCGTTGGCGTTAGGTTGGCTGTCTCCTTCGCTGCTTCGTCGGCTGCCTCGTTGGCTGCCTGGTCGGCTGCCTTGTTGGCTGCCGGTCGGCTGCCTGGTTGGCTGCATGGTCGGCTGCCTTGTTGGCTGCCTCGTCGGCCGCCTCGTTGGCTGCCTGGTGGGGTGCCTCGTTGGCTGCCTCGTCGGCTGCCTCGTCGGCAGCCTCGCTAACTGCCTTGCGGGCTACCTGGTCGGCAGCCTTGCTGGCTGGGGGGGGGGGAGTCGGGATCTCTGGGCGTGGAGAGGAGGAGACGAGGAGTGAGCTGGAGGTTCGAGTCCGGAGGAGTGGGGAGGAGTGGCGATTGCGTTGAATCGGGAAGAAGTTCGGAGGAGTGGGGAAGAGTTGGCGGACGAGTGTGTGTGTGTGTGAGTACCGAGGAATGCCATGGATAGAGGAGGGGTCGTGAGGAGTCCCGAGGAGTACGATGGAGAGAGGAGTGTGGAGGAGTGCTGAAGAGTGCAATGGAGTGGGGAGGCATGGGGTGTAGTGCTGAGGAGGGCGATGGAGTGGGGAGGAGTGCGGAAGAGTGGGGAGGAGTGTCGAAAAGTGCGGTAGAGGGAGGAGTGCGGAGGAGCGGGGAGGAGCGCACAGGAGTGCGATGAAGTGGGGACGAATTCGGAGGTGTGGGGAAGAGTGCCGAGGAGTGCGATGGAGTTCGCAGGACTGGTGGGGAGTGCCGAAGGGTACGATAAAATGGGGAGCAGTGCGGAGGATTCGGGAGAAGTGCGAGGAGTGCCGAGGAGTGAGATGGAGGAAAAAGTGCGGAAGATGTTGGAGGGGCAGGAGAATTGGGAAGGGGGGTGTGAGGTAACGTCAAAACTCGCCCCTCCCGGGGGCCTCCAGGGGGCTTCGTGGGAGACCTTCGGGGACCTGCGGACATCTCCTGTCGGGGACTCCCAGGCACCTGTGGAAACCTCCTGACGGGGGCCTCTGCGAAGACCTTGGGAGCCTCGCGGCGCCTCTGGAGGCCCGAAGACGTCGTCGTCGTCGTCGCCGTCGCCGTCGCCGTCGCCGTCGCCGTCGCCGTCGCCGTCGCCGTCGTCGTCGTCGTCGTCGTCGTCGTCGTCGTCGTCGTCGTCGTCGTCGTCGTCGTCGTCGTCAGCAACGTCGTCGTCGTCGCCGCCACCGCCGCCGCCGCCGCCGCGGCCGTCGTCGTCGTCGTCCTCGTCCTCGTCGTCGTCGTCCTCGTCCTCGTCGTCGTCCTCGTCGTCGTCGTCGTCGGTCGTCGTTCGCCGGTCGTCGTCGTCGTCGTCGCCGCCGCCGCCGCCGGCGTCGTCGTCGACGTCGCGGTCGTCGGACGTCGGTCGTCGTCGTCTCTCCTCCCCGCCCACTCCGAGGCGTTGCCGGACGGACCTGTCCCTGGCACCCCCCACGGACCCGTTACGGCCCCCCTCGCTGCTCGACCCGCCCGCCCGTTAGGGTCCCGCCCGCCCGGCCCGCCGCCCGCCCGACAGGGTTCCACGCGTGCCACCTGGCATATGCGTCATACTGTGTATACGCGTCATACTTTGATGTCCCGCCCGCCCGACGCGCCGCCCGCCCGCCCGTTAAGGTCCCGCCCGCCGCCCGACCCGCCCGCCCGTTAGGGTCTCGCCCGCCCGACCCGCCGCCCGCCCGTTAGGGTTCCACGCGTGCCACCTGATATATGCGTCATAATGTGTACATGCGGCATACTTTAATGATCCGCCCGCCCGACCCGCCGACAGCCCTCCCGTTAGGGTTCCGCCCCACACGACCCGCCCGCCCGTTAGGGTCCCGCCCGCCCGACCGTCGCCTGCCCGTTCCACGTGTGCAACCTGGTTTATGCGTCATAATGTGTACATGCGTCATACTGTAATGTCCCGCCCGCCCGACCCGCCGCCCGCCCGCCCGTTAGGGTCCCGCCCGCCGCCCGACCCGCCCGCCCAGTAGGGTCCCGCCCGCCCGACCCGTCGCCCGCCCGACAGGGTTCCACGCGTGCCACCTGGTATGTGCGTCATACTGTGTATACGCGTCATACTTTGATGTCCCGCCCGCCCGACGCGCCGCCCGCCCGCCCGTTAGGGTCCCGCCCGCCGCCCGACCCGCCCGCCCGTTAGGGTCCCGCCGGGTTTCGCGCGTGCCACCTGGTGTATGCGTCATG